TTCCTGTCATCGTGATCACTGCCTTTGACTAATGGAGTACTTGGTTACGCGAGAGGCTTTCAGTTCGAATGGGCATCATGAGTTTTTTTTTCCCATTTTCGTGCATAGAAAGCTCCGCATTGGAAATTCTGCTTGCCTCCAATGCTCCGTGCATATTTATTTATTTAACTACTCTTACCGCAATTTTCACAGTGCGGAAATAGTAAGGTAGCAATTTTTCAAGAGACTATTCAATATTTTCACACTACACAAAATTGGGGATTAATGATCTCCGTGTCAAAATGCTCATGAACATAATGATTCCCTCCGTTTTCAATCCATCCCTACCTGGATAGCTTGGGCACCTCGAATTGTATGACCCAGTCAATGTCTTGGATGTCAATGCCGCGAGACATCACATCGGTTGACAACATCACTGCATTGTCACTTTTGCGGAAGTCGTCAATCTGCGTAAGCACTGGTATAGATAATTGCAGAACCAAAACAACTACTACGGGAATCCTTACCTGCTTGGTCCGCTCCGCCTGAGAACTGTGGCCATGAACAGCGTATAAGGGCCGTTTTGTGAGAACACGGGATAATATCTAGAAACGTAATACCAAGACCAGACCATGACTAGGAATTTCAAACAGAGCAATCGAGGACTCCAAGTTACCGTATGAAAATATTTCACTCCTCCACACGACGGAAAGAAAACAAGCACTTTCTTGTCGGGCTTGCTGCGAATAAATTCCACCACACATATCAACTTCTCTGATGCTTCGCAAACCTGAAATTGAGGACTAATCAGCTGATCACAAGATGATCAAGAGTTTCGAAAAGAAAAAAGAAAAATACTTACAGTGTAGAAGTTGTTCAGCGTGGAAGGAGAGACCAGGTTGCTGGATTCTTTAATTTTTATCACTTTCTTATTCCTTAACCCAATTAAGAATTCAATTTAATAAATAATGATCAACAATGACAGGCGGCCACAAAATCTTGGGAACGTTGGCATAATCGAGCTCCATTCAAATCAAAATCAGATTCGAATGAGATTTTGCACATACATACATAGACTGTACAAGAGAATCAACTCAGAATCTGTATCCGTTAGCAATAGCCAACAGGCAAAATACCCTGGAGCAACTTTCTCCGGACTTATTGAGGTGGCATTCAATGAATTCAGAGAGAATAGTTCACCATGTATTATAACAAACAACTCACTGCATCTCAAATTGGGACTCGTTGAACCGATCAGCCTCATCTATGACGAGCATCTCTACAGTTTTCAGAGCTCGCTTGAGACTACCATCCTTATCTAGTGATAACAGTTGGAAAAGACGACCAGGAGTTGCTACCAATATATTTCCTACTGGAAGAAACAAATAAATAAAAGGATAAGTGGATCATAACAGCTAATGAGGACACCTACCCGTTCTTCAACTTTTTCAAATTCTGTTCGACTTTTGTTCCACCCACAGTGACAACTACTGAATAGTCAAGTTTTGCCGCAAAAGGGGCAGCAACCTGGAGAAAATCAAATGTGTCGCTGAACTAAAAAGGAACGAAAGCGCTATCTTACCGATGCGATTTGTATCGAGAGCTCACGAGATGGGGAAAGAATCACTGCTCCAAATTCATGTTTTCGGAACTAAATACGTCTTAGTCATAATAAATTAAAGTTCACTCATACAGGTGAAGCAATGTAATGGGAAAAGATTAGTCGATGGAATCATTAGATGGCCCAAAGTAAAATAAATTATTTGACTTTGATCAATTGATCTTTCATTTCTGATGAGTCATGCGATTGGTTTCCAAACAAAAAGTGAGTTTTGAACGCACAAAAAGCATAAACAATTTATTTTTATCACTTTCCGACAAGTTAGAACGTTTATTCTTCGCTTGCTTGGCCTAATTAAAATTCATCCGAAACAACTGATCCCCGGACCACAATTGCGGCTGGACAGCCGCCTGACACCATCCCATCTTCGCCCCGAATCACGCGACACATTTGCTCAATCGCCTCAAACTAAAACAAGGTAAAACACGCGAGACTTCCATTAAAAAACACTTGCACAGGCCCCAAGCCCAGAGAAATTGAAAGGTGACATACGCGAGATTCGTTTGCCAATGAGAGAGGAAATATTGGGCACCAAGTCAAACCGAAAATCTATTTGTCCACATACATACATACACACGCAACTACATTGCACTCAAGCTCAGAGAAATTGAAGGTGACAAACGCTGGGTTTCTTTTGCCAATTCTGTGAGATATTGGCCAAGTCAACCGAAATCTATATGTCAGAGCAAAATTAGTGAATATCAATTGTCCAGAAGGGAATGCATTGGTCCAAACAACGTCCTTCAACAGGCCACCTCTGGGCGAAATAGGCAGCGAAAATCCTTCATGAACCCGAATGGAGTCCGAAGGCATGGCGCAATCCGAAAGAACTGATCAAATGCCATGTTTTTTTTTGTTTTCCAAGAGATTTTTTAAGCAGTCTCACCGTGCCCCTCTTCTCCAAGATAGTGAACATCGGTAAAAGATAGGCGAGAGTTTTTCCAGATCCTGTTGGTGACTCAACAACGACATCGTGATGACTGAGCAGCTCCCGTCCTGCTTGAATCTGGAAAGGTGAACAAATAATAGATTATTTTCCTGCTTTATCTGAAAAAAAAATTGGAAAGTTTATCAATGAGCGATGGTAAGGTGGTTGTACACATAATATTTCTAACCAACAACAAGGCAGATGCAAGCGAATCACTTGATTACTACACTTCTGCGATTTTACATAAGTGCTGCTCACCGAAAATTGGACCGAACCCCGAAAGGGCCGAAGATGTCTTGAGTCCACCCAGTCTTGAAAGGTTGGAAGAATCAACCAAATGATGGTAGCCGCTCCCGGCTTTGGCTCAACAGGGCAAAAGAATATTTTTCAATTTTCTTCTCATAGCTCCTTATGTCTAGTGAATTGGAGTCTGGATTATATTTCGTCTTGATATGAATAATCTCCAGATCCCACATAAGTTCCAATAGTTCCCCGACGCAAAACGCAAGTAAACACTGCAGCTGTTCGTTCCATCCGAACGGGTCGCCGGGCGGTCCCATTGAGCGCAAAAGCTGCTCGCGGTTTAATTGCTGCGCCAAGCAAAGCTATCGATTGAAGCTTGAGTAAATCTTCCTCGACATCCACTATGTCATAAACCTCGCCCAACAATTCGGCTTGCAGGACTTATACTGGCTTGATTTCT